TGTGGTTGTGATATTCTGTCTTCCTGTGATACCAGCACTGTTTCCTGGGACTGGTATCGATTAACAGGTTAATTTGGAACGTCACGGGCTAGTCCCGTTCGGGGCTAGTTCGGGGCGTGACACTAGTTAAATTTCATCCTCTTTTACAAGCGTTTATTCTCCACCATCGATCCTCGATCCTACTTGATTTTGTACAACCGTACGTAGACCTTCCCGGTCAAATCCAATGAACATAGTGACGGCAAAGAGCAGCGTGAATCGAGCTAAGCTCTCCCTCTCACATCTTAATAGCGCCCACAAGGTCTGAAATAGGGATTAGGGTTCAGGGTCAGGAATGCGGATTGATTAAAGGCTGTTGAAGCGGAAAATGCGGGAACAAGAAACGATCGAGCAACGCTCCGGTGACATCCTATGTTCTTCGTTGGCTTGTTTGTAACTGTTCTTCAGTGATAATTTTGCATCCAGCACAGCATAGGTTGGGTCATTTTTGTATCTGCCGTGTCCTCCTCAAGGCAGAGAAAATAAAAAGAAACCGCAAGGAAATCAAAAAACTGTTGCTATATATTGTTCCAAGGTATTAGTTTTCAAAGTCTTCTATGCAAATTTTTTTTACAAAAGGGATTTTCTAGATTTTATGTGCAAATTTTATAAATCTTCAGTCACCTAAATCACGTATGGCTAAACCTAGGTTTGCAATACTATGCAATGTGCAATTTTAGTTCGTTCTAACTGCAACTTTTTCATTGTATATGGTTTTATTACAAAAGGCAAAATAATTATTTCTTAAATAAATAGTGGCCACATGTATTTGATATTTGTTAAGAAATCCTCATATTGCATTATCTCCAAATCGAAGTAAAAAGGCTCAGTGGAAGTCTAGAAGATGATTGAAGCACAAGCGCATAAAATTAACTAAAAGGTTCAACAACAAAGCAAGATTTCACATGTGCTACTGATTCATACAAAAATATTGTCTTTTATATTATCACTATTTATTTATGTTCCTAATTGATTTCTGATAAATCCTGTACATTTTTATATGTTAATTTGACAACCTATAACATATATATTACCAGTTAATTTAAGTATTTCCACTAAACTTATTATAGAAAATGGACTAAAACCTGGTCTCTACATTTCCATAAACTTAACTAGGACAATAATCTGAATTAATTGTCTAAGCAAAATGAAGGCAGAATGGAAACAAACATTTCAGGATTCAAACATAAGTAATGATATGTGATTACATGGTTCAGTTGGATGTAGACAAATAGTAAAAATTCTTAACAGCTGTGCATTTCAGAAATGACACTAGAAAATTGAAATAACGAATCCATGAAACCGATTTGAATTGAATTGCCTATCGGAAGCTAGGATGGTTTGCGAACATATATATACCTGTGGGAGTTGCGAGTTGAGACATAGAAAAGGTCACATACGGATCGGATGCACAATCTCCATATCTTTAGTTGCTTCACAAACCTTCTTATTAAGCTCCATGGATCCAGAACAGAACTTGAAGATCCCCGACAATGTCCATAGAAACACCACGTCGCCCTCCTCCGCAACGCCAATGATCTTCACCATCGGCAACAGCGGGAACCAGTGATCATCAGAGCTATAGGCAATGCAAGTAACAACGATGCCATTGTCAGATATCCAGATTACATATGATCAGTAATTTAGCAGTACATTTTTTGGCACTAAGAAATCATTTTTTTGGCAAATATATATTTGGATGAAAAATCACTAAATTAAATGTCTACATATAAAGATCTCATTGACTGAATGTGCGATAGCCTGATTATTAGTAGCTAGCCACGCCGATCGAGACATCCTGAATGTACGCCCAATCTTGATGCCCCGGTGTATAATAATTAATAAGATATATAACTATCATCAATTATCAATTATAAAAACTGATCCCAAAGTCCACACATTTACTGTTGTTCCAGAAAAATAATTTCTCCAAATACAACTTGATGTAAATATTTTTACAAAAAATGACATAGTGAAATGATGGTGTGTTGCTAATGAAAACGTCATTTCTTTGCCCGAAACTTCTTAAGTCTATCTTGAATTGGGGAACTGGTAACTAAATAAACTAAAAGAATTGAAGAATATATGAAGGCGCAGGTCAACATATAAAATGCATCGTCAGACTATAATTCAAGTCTATCTTACAAGATTTTTTGCTAACTATTATGTCTGCATATACATCCAGTTTTTTTGCTATAATAAATAACTAAGATTAATTATCTGCAGTTTGTTAAATTCAGTATGTATAAAAGCACGAATTCAATTCTAGTTATCACTTGAGTAACAAAGCTATTGAATAAACTAAATTTCTGTTTGAATAATTTTCAAGATGCACTTGGCAGTTCATATTTCGAAGGTGTTTTCCTGTTGTATTATATTATATATCCCACATGCTTGCATAGGTCTTGCTTATTAGCTCAGCTCAAGACGTTGTAATAAAAATATACATTAGTTGATGAACTTAATTGTATGTATAATCTGCTGTGGCCAACCATAAAATGCAGAGAGGAAAATGGAATTGACGACTAGCTAACAAATAGTTTAAATAAATATGTATTTTATATTTAGGAAAACCTAATGTATTGAAACACATATGCAGTTTGTGAAGTCCTATTGTAGCAACTACATATGCAGAAAGACTATGCAAAATTTGGTGAACAATGATCAGAATAACTCATATGCTGCCCCACACCTCAAATAATTAGAACAAGAAAAATTTATTCAGCAAAACGGAAACAACATAGCACTATACACTTAATGATAGTCTACTCATCATATGAAAAATGGGCAACATGATTGAAGAGGGAAATACTGATCATGAACAGAATTCTATGGAAAATAATTAGATGGGTTGCCATTTTTTAGTATAATAATGCAATGTACACTCTATAAATTTGCACTTGCTGCCCGAGCAAAAACACATTTTTAGGAGTCTAACCCTATAATATAGAGACTTGAACTTTTTTTATATGTTTGCCCCTAGCTAGCTAGCTATATGGTTGTTGCACTAAATATACAGCAAACCCGAATGCTAAGAAACTGCAGTGGAAGATAAATCTGTACTAACACTTGGTCACTTCAAAACTTAGACATACATCCAATAAAAGATATCCTGCAGTACGTATATGACTAGTCCACATACAAGGTGCATGTCTTATTTGATCATGGCCGAAAAGGTTGGTAACACAAAATGCACATATGAATCTGAGCTCACAGAAAAAATAAATGCATACAGGAAAATGGAATTAGTGACTAGTAATTAATTCAAAATATGTGTTTATTTAGGAACATAGTGCAAATTTGCATATATCAAAACACTGCTTACACTGATTGCACTAAGAAATCAATTTTTTGGCATATATATATATATATATATATATATATATATATATATATATATATATATATATATATATATATATATATATATATATATTCGGATGAAAAATCACTAAATTAAATGTCTACATATAAAGATCACTCAATAAATGTCTAGCCCACATATTATGTTGCTTTGTAAAAACAAAAATGTATATTGCATAAGCTTGATAATTAATTGCACTCACAAATTAAATCTCATCCTCGAGTTAATTAATTAAGCTGATCCCTCTCACTTCCCGGCGGCGCGCGGCTGCAACCTCAGAATGGGGAATTAGTGTTTGGGATGAGGAATGGGGATCGATCGATTAAAGGCTGCTGAAGCGCAAAATTCTGGCACAAGCGATGATCGAGCGGCACTCCACTGACATCTCATGTTCAGGTCTTCGTTGGCTTGTCTGTAACTGTTCTTCAGTGAGAATTTTGCAACACCCTGGATTCTTCATGTTTCACACATTTGCTCGCAGCACAGTTCAGGTCGTGTATGTGTATCTGCCATCATCTCCGCAAGGTAGACAAAATGTCAGGGAAATACGAAAACCGTGTTCAGGTCGTGTGTGTGTCTCTATATATAGACACACACACACACACATACATACATACATAAATTTTAATTTAGAATTTCCAATATATGTTTTTTAGAAAATGGATTAAAACCTAGCCTCTACATCCAAACTATATGTACATAGCCAAGCATTTCCAATAAACTTAACTATGACAATAGTCCAAAATATGGAAAAAAAAACTGAAGGCAAAATCAAAACAAACATTTCAGGATTCTAATATAAGAAATGATATATGATTACATGGTTCAGTTGGATGCACACAAATAGTAAAAATTATTAACGGTTCTGCGCTTTAGAATGACACTAGGAAATTTGTATAATGGATCCATGAAACCTATTTGAATTGAATTGTTGATCAGAAGCTAAGATGATTTAGGAAGATATAACAGTGGGAGTTGCGAGTTGGTACATAAAAGGACATGTACAGATGCACAATCTCCATATCTTGAGTTGCTTCACAAACATTCTTAAGCTCCATCGATCCAGGACATAACTTGAAGATCCCCAACATTGTCCACGGAAACACCACGCCACCCTCCTCAGCTACGCCAATGATGATTTTCAGGCGTCAACAACGTTAACCGGTGATCATTAGAGCTATAGGAAATGCAAGCAACAACAATACCATTGTCAGATATCCAGATCACATGACTAGTAATTTAGCGGTACATATATCTTTTGGAACTAAGAAATCAAAAAAAAAATTGGGCTATATAGGATGAAAATTCACTAAATTAAATGTCTACATATAAATATCTCACTCAGTAAATGTCTAGCCCACACATGATGTTGCTTTGCAAAAAAAAAAAATGTATATTACATAAGTTTGACAATTAATTGCACTCACAAATTAAATTTTATCCTCAAGCTAAGCTGAACCCTCTTGTTTTGTCTACATATAAATATCTCACTCCATAAATGTCTTTCCCACATATGTTGTTGCTCGCAAAAAAAAAAAGTATATTACAAAAGTTTGATTATAAATTGCACTCACAAATTAAATTTCATCCTAGAGGTAAGCTGAACGCTCTTGCTTCCCAATGGCAGCCGCAACCTCAAAAATGGGGAATTAAGGTTTGGGGTGAGGAATGGGGATTGACTAAAGGCTGCTCGCTGAAGCGGAAAATGCAGGCACAAGTGGCGAGCGACGCTTCGGTGACATCACACGTTCTTCGGTCGCTTGTCTGTAACTGTTCTTCAGTGAGAATTTTACATCCAACACCCCAGAATCCTCTCATAAACACTCTTTGCTATACAATTACAGTGTGTCATAGACACTTTTGCTCTGCCAAAATTGGGCATCACGAAAAAGTGTAGCATATGCCACCCCTTCTTAATTAGATGCCATCCCATCAGTGTGATGCTACTAGGATAACCTATACAAGTTTTCAGTACAGCTAACGAGAACATCTGTAATAAGACAACTAAAACTTCTGATGGTACTAAAGCATCACAGGACTTCATCTCCCCCTCATTTTGTTGGTCAAACCACCAGGATTGCCAAAATTCAGTCCAGCATTCCAGTTCCGAACCTCCAGCCAGGTTTTGCGCCATACATCTCACTTGCTACTTGATTTCTGCAAAATAAGCCAGGTTTAATCCAAAAGCAAACATAATGGATCAGCTCAACAGAATGTGTTTTAAGTACATTTATAAAACATATCACATATGCATTCCTGGTTTTCCAGACAGCTCAGATAACAGCAGCAACACCCACTACAACCATTTTTCTCATCTCTTAACACTTATGAAACCAAGCACCAACTATATGCACATGTGGTAAGCTATTTAATGTTTCATTGCACCCTTAAAGGAAAAGAATACAGTGCAATAAGCACCAAAATTGTTTTGTGTTCATATAAGCACCATGCATTATCATCTATCATTCTATTGTTTCTATAACCACTACAAAATAGCCCTTTAACCCTAAGGTTCTAACCAGGGTTTGAAATTTCGAAATTGGATTTTATGCCAGGGGTTACCAAAATTTCGGAAATTTCGAGCCAAAATTATTTGAAAATTTGACTGAATTTGAATGAATTTGAATAAAATTTGACCAAATTCACAAAAAATTACAAAAAACCGAAAATTTCGGACGAAATTTGAGCATGCCGATGGGGGGCGAAATTTCAAACCTTGGTTCTAACAGAGTAAGCAGACAACTGATGTGGAATTAACACTGGGCACCCAATACCAATGATTTTGCTTGCAACTCATAGGCCCTTGATATATCAAGACGGGTTGTTTGTATCTCATATTCTATTAAAACCGCTTTACCTTAATCACATTTTTTAAAAAAAATTTGTGCAAGTAAGCGGTAAGAAAAACTGGGTTTCAATAAAACCGGGAAATCATGTTTAATCAAAAACTACACAACAATTTTACGAAAAGTAGTGTTGTTCTCAATCAACACAGCACGAAACATATTGACCGTGCCCCTTTTTTCTCCCTCGCAGCAGCCAGCCAAAGTGCCAAACACACATCTATCGCAAAACACATATTTAGTATTTTCCACCCAAACATGATGTTAAATAAATGATCCATAACAAACTAACAACCTATAAGTGTTTATTATGATAAATCAAATTAAAACTTGTTTTATGAAAACCTGTTTTTTATTTGTCTTCAAACCGACCACTGAAGGAAACAGTCAAACAGACTACAAGGTTCATAACGCCCACACCACCTTTCAGCAGCAAACAGGTCAAGCATCAGCCAGGTTGTTCACATGGTGCCATCCTACCATGTATACCAACCGCTGGTTTACAACAAAAGTTGAGTTTCAAAGCACAAGACTACAACCAACATGTACCGAGAAATAGCATCCAGAAAGTGATGATCAGCTAAACAGAACTTAAAACTAGAAAAGACCTGGTGAATTCTCCCAACATATAGTGACATCCTCCTTTGTGTTCATCCTTCCAACTGTCCTGAGCACAGTCTCCATCTGAACTTGGCGCGGAAGATCTCACTTGCCACCTGCCTCAGAAACCTGGTTCCCCACTATAGCACTCTCCTGTTTTCCTCCTTTTTCTGCATTAGAGCCCAAGATAACATCCATAAGCAAACAAAATATATTATATCTGTAGGATCTTTAGATAATTTAGCTTTGAAACAGGCTGAATTTCTAGCTTTCAATAAATACCAGCATACAAAAGCAATTCCAATCAAAATGAGTGACTAAAGTTTCTTCTTAAACTTGTTTAGCCAGGGTCCAAAAAGATGATAAACACTAAGAACTGGACCAACACCAAAAGTACAACTAACAACATTCCAAACAAAGTAAGCTAAGGGGCACTTAATGAATAAGTGTTCATCTTTTCAAAACCCTGGCAGAAAAGGCGTTTGCTATCTCCCTTTTTTCCAGCCGTATTAATCAAATTGTCAGAACCGTATTTTTTATTAACAACTACAACAAAAGTTAAATTTTAATTTTCAGTGGGATCTTTATAGAATGAGCTCACCGTAAAGAAAAGGTACAACTGTATTTTTTTTTTCAATCAAACAAGTTCATTACTACTATAAATATAAGTAGAACAGATACCAATCAATATTTGTCATACTTTTGCTTACACATAAATGTGGCATTAAGTGGAAAAGGCATTTTAAAAACTAGTATAAATAGAAGTGGAAGAGACACAAATCAATACTTGTCATACTTTTGCTTAAACATAATGTGGCATTAAGTGGAAAAGGTATCCACAAACGATACATGAGGTATTATTAAAATCGCGCAAGGAGATATCCCCATTAACCCACTTTCAACCTTAGTGTTAACGATGACTACTGAACATCAGATCAATAAAACATAAAATAAAAGTGACTTGGCATGTGTTGCTCTATTTGATATTAATTGCTAGTGCTCCTGAACTGGAACAGGATATGTACTACGTAGTATTGGGTTCAGCACCAACAGAGTAAACATTGTAAGACTTTTCATTATTTAAAGACTACTTGACAGAAAAGGACAAAGGGATAGTTGCTCATACCATTTGGAACATAATAAAAGCTCTCATAGGGATGAACAGTCTTGATGAGTAGGGAACCATCAGTCACCTTCTTGAACTTCAACGTGTCAAGCTCAACCAAGAAAATGCCAGCAGGGGTCCCAATAAACACCACATTTCCATCCCCAGAGAACCCACATATCCAAGCAGGCACGATACGGCGCCGACTGTCCTCCGTCGCCACTGGCAGCGAAAGGAGCTTGTCCATCTCAACGGACTTGCGTGGAACCCAGTTCGTCGCGCCATCATCGGCAACCTCCCGCACCCACAGATGCAGGCAGAAATCGTTGAAAAAGGCGAGGCCAAGCAAATCGTCCTCCAAACTCACAGGACGGATGTTCCACCTGTGGGTTGCGGGCATATCCGATGGCCGCGAGATCAGAGCTAGACTTTGGCTGCCGCAATTGAACTCGAGCAAGCTGCTGCCATTAACAATCCAGTACAGGGCTTCCCCAGCAAGGGCAGCGGGCTCGTCGTAGATCATCAGCAGAGGTAAAGTCACCGGCGTCGAGATCACGTCGCCCCAGGCGCCGATCGCCGAGGAGAACATGCAGCCGAACACGTGGTCGCCGCTGACGAACACGACGGCGACGTTGAAGGCGCCGGAGCGGCGGTCCTCGTCGCCGGCGGAGGCAGCGCAGAACACGGCGGCGTCGCGGTCGGCGTCGGCTTGGACCATCTGGATGGGGGCGGGGAAGCAGACGAACCCCTCGGTCATGGGGTCCCAGACGAGCAGGTTGGCCCAGTCGCAGCTGCGGAGGAGGACGCGGCCGTGGCGGCAGCCGACGAGCCACCACAAGCCATCGCCCGTGTTCCTGCGGAGGGAGGCGACCTGGTCGGCGATGCGGCAGAGGGGCGCGTCGGTGGGGAAGAAGAGGGCGCCATGCGAGGAGTTGAGGAAGAAGCCGAGCACGGGGGCGGTGCGGTGGAACTCGCGGAAGCGGCGGAGGAAGCTAGGGTTGCGGGTGTGGCGGAGCCAGCGCTTGGAGACGAGGGACGCCGAGGAGAGGAAGGAAGGGTGGGGCGGGAGGCGGAGGAGGATCTCGGCGAGGACGTCGTCGGGCAAGGTCTCCGCCGCCGCCGCCGGAGGGGAGGAGTGGCCGCCGGTGACATCGGCCATCGTCAGATCTGGGGATGAGAGAAACGGGGGATTGAATTTTGTGCACTGAAGGGCAAATGCTATGGTACATGTGACTATCACCTCTAAATTTATCTATTTTATTCACTCATGAACTAAGAGCAGGTACAATAGTAGACTATTAGCAAGCTACAAACATATTTTAATAGGATAAAAGATGAGAGAGAATAGCAGCGGGCTATAGATCTGTAGCCAGCTACAGCATGGACTCCAATACGCAATGTGTGTATGACAGGTGGGACCATATACTAATAGTATAGTAAGCAATTATTGTATGAATTGGCTATTAGATTGGCTATACATGAATTGTAGCTAGCAGTGGGCTATACTATTAAACTTGCTCTAAGAGTCAACCTATACAATGCATCACCTCTAGTACACAAATACCAATACAAATACCATATCATTAAGAGCAGGTACAATAGCAGCTGGTATGCCGGCGATATGCTGGCCACGTAGACCGGAGTGATGATTTGGCAGAAAAAAGACAGGAGAGAGGGCGAGTCGGCGACTAAATTGTCGCCTGGCTGCATGCGTTTTTCGAGAAAAGTGGGCCCCGTCGATGCCATAGATCATCAGCGGTGAAATAATCTCCAGAGAGAGAATAAGATGAATGAAGAATAAAATACTATTGTCATGAAAGGATGGACAGACGGGTTAGAGCATGCTTATTGTGCCGGTAAGCTACTAAGGTGGTGTTTGAATCTCTTGAAGATGAAGATGAAGATAAAAATTAAGTGTTTCACACAAAATGGGGTGGTAATAACGTGTGATTAATTGAGTTTTAATTATTATAAACTTAAAAAATGGATTAATATGATATTTTAGTACAACATTCATATAGCAAGTTTTCGCACGAAACGCACTGTTTAGCAGTTTGAAAAGCGTGCCACGAAAATCTTCATCTTCATTCAAATATTGTTGGATAAACGAATGGGACCTAAACCAACTTTTGATGATATGGTGAAAATTGCAGCCAACTGTGGGCGTTACTATTATCTTTGCTCTAAGAGCAATATAGCCAACTACTAGCTTCAATTCATATATAGCCAATCTAATAGCTCATTCATACAATAGTTACATATTACACTATTAATAGCTGGTCCCACCTATCATATACACACTGCATCTTGGAGTCCGTGCTACAGCTGGCTACAAATCTGTAGCTCGCTGCTCTTCTCTCTCCTTATTTATCTTCTTAAAATATGTTTACAGCTGGCTTATAACCTGCTATTGTACCTGCTCTAATACTCTCACATCCTTCTTAAATTTTGTGAAGGTTGCCTCTTGATTTAGAGGTGGCTCATCATCTCTCTCCTCACTTCTCTCTTCCACATCATCACTCAATCGAATGTGGCACTCTTAGGGGCAACATATGAGATATTATAGTAATTGCCCTTAAATTTAAAGGGAATATTTGATGCGTTGATTTTTTTAAACTTGACTGTTCGTCCTATTAAAAAAATTTAAGTAATTATTAATTCTTTTTCTAAAGGGAATATATTGAGATATACTAAAGTATGCGAATTGACTATCCTTAATTTATTATCATTAACATATATCAGTATGCGAATTAACTTTAATACCCTTAGCAGATAATTGTAAAGATATATACTGATATACAACACCCATATTAATGTGTTGAATAATGTATACATGTTGTTAAAGTGTGACTAACAATTTCCTATCCACAAGTTTCACAAATAAAGGTTGGACATGGGATACAAAGTGGTGTGGTACAATTATGATAATGACTAAACATTTAATTATGGAAACTATAACATAACTAACATTTAGCGTGACAAAGTGAAATATTCAACCTTAACCTCCGATAATAAAAGAAGATATTATCTTAATGTACAACTCTTTAAAATAATCAAGTTCACAACAAAGTGGATCTTAAAGTTTTCATAAACTATTCTTCGACCGTTCGACTAGCGATATCTTTGAAACGAAACGAGTAGTTATAATGTTATATATTACTGAGAAAGATTATAAGATTATTGCTACTGTTTCATACCTTAGGCTCTTGTTACGGTTAGCTAACTATTTTCTACAATAATTTCACTATCACCAGTGATTTCAAGATCTAGAAAACAATACTCATGTATCATCAAAGTTATTTACGATGGAATGTATATGTGTAATTTATTACGATGCTAAAATGTGTCCATAACTAGAACATTAGAAACTAGTAGTCTTTAGTGCAATACTTACTATTAGCCATATGGTTAACTACCTAATGGCAATGTGTTAAAACTTATAAGTGTGCTGGTTCATACTTATGTATGATCTTAAACCTAAGAGTGGAGAAAGGAGAGAAAAAAGTTTGCAGAAGTAGTGTGATCCTTTTGTTAAGGATAAAGAGTATGGTCGTATCACACAGCTTATAGATCCACATTAGGGTGTGTTCTATAATTTTCTATAAGAATGTTGCTTTACAAAATCATATTAATATATTTTTTAAGTTTGTTAGTTAATACTTTCTCCGTTTCATAATGTAAGTCATTCTAGCATTTTTCACATTCATATTGATGTTAATGAATCTAGATAGATATATATGTCTAGATTCATATTTACAGCAATATGAATGTGGGAAATGCTAGAATGACTTACATTGTGAAACGGAGGGATTACTTAATTATTCATTCACTCATCCGCCGTTCCATTTTACCATTTTATGTGTCGGGAGGCGGGAGGAAGGGAAGGGTTCTGAACCCACATGTTCCAACACACCCTTAATAACAAGGGATATCAATATTAGCAATATTTTTGAACTTCACATAGAAATAGTATTGAAATAGGGACATAAATATATCCAATATTCATCCTGAGCATTCAATTTTGTTTTTCATCTACCATCAGCATAACTCTCCTACTTTGTATTATTATTTCGAAGAAAACATCCAATCTTCCTAGCTAAGACAAATAAAATGCAGAGACCAATATATCTAATCTACTACCGCAGCATGCCTATTACAGATGTAATACATTTTTCCTGGTAGCTAACAGGAGGGATTGAAGACTGACACAGGGGTGGATTTAAACCAATTCTTTACAAAATATCAGCTGGGGTTTCGGGGCCAGTCGAGCAAACGATTTGAGCTACGTGCAACTGCAACTCATGCACATCATGAGATCACAGACCTGATGTCAGATACCCGTGGCGTATCCTGCAGAGGAAAATACACAAGAATTCAAGTAAATCCAGCCTTTAGAATTCGAGTGAAAACTACCTTCTTGAAACATCTGTACACAAAAGAGCTCCTGTAAGCCAGTGGCAAAGTGCTGCAATCAGGTACAAATTACTAAAATCTATCCATAGTTTTAAATGATTACCAAAGGTCTAGGAAAGTCTTTTCATTTGACTAGTTTAATTAACATGAGTTAATCTGCATATAGATTATTTACTCACCAATCACCACATCGATCTACTTAAAAAACATGACTTAGTATAAGAGCCAAAAATGTATAATTGCTGGTGCTATGCTCTAGCTTGTGAATTATGATAAAGCTCAAGAATGGAAAATAACCACTGCAGTTTCAATCAATAAAAAAAAGAACCACTAAACGCAAGACGAGCAAAAAAACTTTCCGAAGGCTGATGTCCAGGCTGCCTCACCTGCTTGAAAACGTCAGTATTTCCTTGCCTCTGTCAACACATTGGATCTCATGGGCTTCAATGGAACTTCCAGTCATTATTCTGTGACATTAGCTAACACCAAACAATAAGATATATAAGCTATGAGCTTTGATGAATTAACACAATCAAAGTCAGACAATACCAAGAGTAAGTTAATGGTGTACCAATACTTGTACTTTGCTATTTCAGCAATCTTAAGACTAGTCTTTAGTATGGCACATTGGCCATGTATAGAATATCTTAATTAGAAGTCATCTTATGGGCTATTGCTGATCTAGTATTGCCACCAGATGGCTACCATGCCACATTTTGCCACACTTGAGTTAAGCAGGTCCATGCCACAGACCTACAGTTCTTCAACATCATGGCCTACTTGTCACTAGGGTTTTCAATTTCGATTTTGGCTAAAATTTCGGCCATTTCGGTTCGGTAATTTTTGGACCGAAATTTTCTGAAATTTTGACGCAATTTAACTGATTTTGACTAAATTCACAAAAAATTGAGAAAAACCGAAAATTTCGGCCAAAATATTGACATGCCGGTGGGTTCCGAAATTTCGGAAATTTCGAACCGAAATTTCAATCCCTGCTTGTCACACACACACACACACACACACACTGTTCTGCTAAATTGGGCACCACAATAAAGTGTGGCAACAAGAAATGTTTCGCAATTGGTGGCATTCATCCAAACAGCTCAAAATAGCTCATAGGAACCAACATGCCCATAAAATTCTGGATCGAATGTGGTGTTTACCTATTATCTTTTTCCTAGTTTCGCCATTAAATGTTCCTAATTGAATAATGGGATTTTGATGTACAAATGCAGGACAAAAAAAAAGACAGCAGACATCAATATAATTGCACTTCCCTTATGGACTCAAGTAAAACACATGTACTACAACGGAAATCACCAGTTTGAGGAAGGTAGAATGACCAGACAGCATAAGATATTTTCCAGAAATGATGTAAAACTTCATGAAGAATTTGAAGTATAATAGTCACTCAGTCAGCCATGTTCAGCAAACAATAAAATGGTCCATTGGGTTATGTATATTTTTCCTGGAAGCATGTTTTTTTTTTTTTGGCTCTGAGTGACTGAGTACTAGGCCTAGGCCTTTTTTTCACATTGAAAAGGCAGTTTAATACTAAAAAGAAAGCGGTGAAGCTGCTATAGATGCTCTGGTTAATTGGCTGTAGACAGATCACTCAAGTGTGCAATTATAGACCTTTAAGATTGTCATACTGAAGTCAGCCCTAGCAAAGCCCAAAGAATCCCAAATATTGGTTGGACTAACCCAACCAGCAATTTCTGTCTTCCTGAATTGGGATAGTCAGCTTCAGTTCTAGCTGCCTTTTAACTAGAAAGTGACTGTGCCTTGAACAACACTTTTCAGATAGCATTTTTATTAGCTTCCAAATATTTCATGTTTTAGAATGGCATTTTATGATATCTGGTGCAGTTTAATTTTGAAACACTAGCTCATTAAGATTACCGATTTTAATGTAAAGTACTAAAATTAAGATACAATCAGTCCAATACTCGAACTTAATAAGTCAATAACCACAACAATACAATGAAAATCAGCAAGTAGAAAAAACAAACACCTACATGATTTGTTGATTCGCAGCTCAATGGCCTGGCTTGACTTACAATAAGTCCAACCAATAAAGAAATCATAAATTAGCGTAATCAAGTAATCACGCATTATAGTACATGAGAATTTAATAGTGTTATACTATATGCAACCTATACTAAAAGAATCATATATTAGCATAATCAAGTAATCAACACATTATAGTGTAAGAGAATTTAATTGAAATCATTCCCATGGAACCAATACAGAGAATAACATATTCCTGAATGGTCATTGAAAAAGTACTCATGTCCAAACATCACAAGTTATCTTTCTGTTACTGTTCTTTTCATCTGAAAGTTTTTACTCTACAATATATGCAGAATGAGATATCAATCTGGTATTATAAAGCAACTTTGGCAGTACCTTTTGCACAAATGTCTCAAAGTGTCAACAAGCTAATAAGGTTTGTATTACAGAAGATGTGCATGAAAGCTCATGGAGTTTTCGCATCTTCGTTCACTTATAAGTCACAGAGATTGTGCCAACATACATTTCAATGCACCCTTGAAGGAAAAGTATACTATGTCTACATGATAAGAACTGGACTTATGTTTTGTTCATAAGCATCAGAAATGATGCTTTATCTGTTACCACTACACATTAGCACTTCATCTCTAAGGCTCTAAATGATGTAAAATTAACACTTGCCGCGCAATATCAATGTTTTCGCTTCCAACTCACAGGCATTGATTATAAAGAAAAGGTCATCTGCATATTTATTTTAATCAAACTACTAGATCATTACTACTGTAAATAGAACAGATGCTGAATCAATACTTGTCATATTTTTTTCTTACAGAAATGTGGCATTATAGAAAAGATTTTCCAAATCATAAATGATATATTATTGAAATTGGCGCAAGTAGAATCAATCCACTTCCAACCATAGTGGTAATGCTGACTATTGAACATCAGCTCAACAAGCCATAAAATGAAAGTGACTTGGAAAAGTTTGGTCTATTGTATACTCTATTTGCTTTCACTCCTAAACCACAATGAGACACATAATACTGGGTTCAGCACCAAAAGAAAGACACTGGAAATCTTTTCATTAGCTAAAAACAATACTAAACAGCAGAGGATAAAGAAAGAGAGAGAACTTCCCATACCATTTGGGACATAAAAGCTTGAATATGGGTGAACAGTCATCATGTATAAGGGGTCAGACATCTTCTTGAACTTCAATGCTTCAAGCCAAACAAGGAAAACGCCGGCAAGGGTCCGTATAAACACCACATTTCCATCCTCAGAGAACCCACTAATCGAAACAAACATTTCACCACACCATTTTCCGGTGAGCACCCTTGGCATCGGCAGGAACTTGTCAAGCTCAATGGCCCTGCGCGGTATCCATTTCCATTTCGGCGCACCATCATCGGCAACCTCCCGCGCCCACAAGTGCAAGGTGGAATCCTTGATGAAGGCAAGACCAAGCCCATCTTCTTCCAACCTCACAAGACGTACATCGGCAAGCATCTCCAATGGCCGTTTCATCAGAGTTAAACTTTGGCTGCCAAATTGGAACTCAAGTATGAGTCCCCCATAAGAAAGCCAATACGAGGCTTCCCCAACCAGGGCAGGGGGCGTGTCACAGAGCTCACATGGCAATGGCGCCGGCGTTGAGATCAGGTCGCCCCACGCGTCGGTCAGCGAAGAGTACACGCAGGCGAACGCGCGGCAGCCACCGGTGAACACGACGACGACATGGAAGGGGCTAGAGTGGCAGTCTTGGTCGCCGCCGCCTCCGGAAACATCGCAGCTGCAGAACAACGCGGCGCTGCGGCGGGAGGTGCCGGCGCCGCCGCCCTGCATCTTCTGGTTGGGGCCGGCGATGCGGCGGCGCTCCCCGGTCATGGGGTCCCACACGACCAGGTCGGCCCAGTCGTATCGGCGGAGGAGGGCGCGGCCGTGGCGGCAGTCGATGAACATCCGCGCGTCGCCGCCGTCGTCGACTCCGTCCATGCGGTTGCGGCCGGGGACGCCCTCGGCGGGGACGAAGCTGGGGAGGTCCCGGTAGTTGTGGAAGAAGCCGAGCACGGGGGGTGTTCGATGGAATGCGCACACGCGGCGGAGGAAGCTGGGGCTGCGGATGAGGTGGAGCCAGCGCTTGCAGACGAGGGAGGCGCCGGAGACGAAGGAAGGGTGAGGCGGGAGGCAGAGGAGGATCTCGGCGACCACGTCGTCCGGTAACGACTCCACCGCCGCCGCCTCCGCCTCCGCCGCCGCGCTCATGTCGTGTGGATTGGTAGGGGAGTGCTGCCTCTCAAGTCTCTCAAGCCAAGGGTTGGCATTCGGTCTGACCCAAAATTTTGGTATCGGTTTTCGGTCTTTGAAAAAAGAAAAGTGAACACCAAATTACAACGAAAATAAAGTCAGGACCAACAAATTCGGTCTCGGTCTCGGTCCTGACCGAAATTCAATAACATTTTCATATATGCAATGAAATAGAAATTTTTAACACAAAAATCACAAAAAAAAAATTCGCAAGCATGTATGAATTGCATGTCTAGAAGAAGTAGGGATGTGAAAATTAGAGTTTAATCCTATTGAACTTAGCGGATTCTAGGTTGCATTTAGACAATTTTTTTTTGTTAATTCAGTCTTTTCGGTCTATTCGGTTAACTGAGGAGACTAACCGAATTGACCGAACCAAATTCAGTCTTTCACTGTTTAGGACTGAATTGATGACTGAATTTCTCGGTCTCGGTCTTTCGGTTCAGTCTTTTTCTGCCCACCCCTTCTCAAGCCTGCTCAATTTTTTTTTCTTTTTTAAAACACAGTACAAACACGTAAAATTTAAACATGATTTATAACTTCAAATTTTCACTGCTCCATTAGCACACCGAAAAAAAATATTCCGAGTTTTTTTTCACTTATAAATTAAATCTGTATAATGAAAAAAAAAGTGCTTTGAATAATTGAGTTACCGCATCTCTTCTTATAACTTATTGTACCACAAAATCGCAGCTACCTTACAACTTTACAAGTTGTTCTAATTATAAGCTTATTATTTATAAATTTTTTAGCCACTCACCTTTTGCACTAGGACACTCATTTCTTAAGTTTTTATCTAAATTGCACCACCCAACTGTTAAGTTGATGCACCGTGAATACAATTTACCGTCTACAATTAGTCTAGACGTTCTTTTGCCGCTTTTCTATACTTTGGGCTTAATTATTGGATCACCTAGAGTAAAAGTATCCCAAAGTCTTATCCTAAATTTATATTTTGAATTGCTTCGTTTATCTTTGTCAGATTATAAGCCATAGATTAACCATTGGAAATGCATAATGCAAATAATGAGAATTTCATGCAAGCATTTGATGGCTTACTTCAAATAATTGAAATACAAAATTCTGTATCTACACAATTTAAAAATTCTTTTCAACCAAGAACACTTTTTTACAAAAAATGGCTCTTTTTTTTCCACGGAAGACACAATATGCACACCACACAACACAGGCGAACACAAAACGGAAAAATTGGACGGTTCACCCAATTGTTGCATGAGCTTCTATAATATGATCCAAAGTTGTTTGCACTTGATTTTGGCCCAAAGTTTTTTACATAAGATCAAGTGAACACAACTTTTGGGCAAAATGTATATGCTCAATCAGCTATGGAGCAAATGATCAATGTTCCATTTGAAAGATGAATTGCCTATGAGAGAAAAAAAAAAGAACTAGAGCAGCTGGTGGGTCATCACAGACAATCAAACAGAGTAACCAGAGATAGGAATACAACAATATCATATCGCACGCACAAAATAAAATGTACCACATGAAGTATTAACTGTAATCTCCAAAGGCGAGAAAATGTCAATTTCGCCTTTTTATTGAATTATGGAGTAATCTGATATGCGTTGGAGTATTAGTAGCTGTTATCTCCAACGACAACAAAATGCCACTTTAACCTTTTCATTGAAACATGGAGTGATCCTTCAACACCCTCTGCAATCAGGAGAAAGCAGCGCAGATGCATAACTGATCCTTCAACACCACTGCAGCCAAGAGATTCTAAAGCCATCCGATTCCATGATTTGCACCATCATCTGTATCCATCACAGGAGCGGTAGAAAAAATTAGGGGACATCAATAGATCATCATACAAAGGAGCAAACTAATGGCATGTAATGATGTAACCACTTTTCTCATTGTGAGTAAACGAGCTTCCGTTTAATCATGAACAACAGGAGTACAATCAAAAGCAAGCTACCAACACAGAAAAGTTGGCACCTACCCAACAAAATCCTAGGAAGATTGATGGCGCAAGTTGAATGCAACATGGCACTAACAACACATATAACGCAATTAAAAACTCTAGCAATAACTACTTATTATTCTTCAAAAAGAAATTAACAGCTACTTGTGGTCAGTGGGATTCTATAATTCAGGTCCTTACCCAATTATAGAATTAAGGTCCTCCCCAAAGAATTCATCTTTCTGATGGTCTCTAGAATGCATTTTCATCCTAACTGAAATGAGTTCAGTGTAGTGCAGGAAGGAACAGATCTTTGTTTCCATCTATTAAAATAGCTCAGACGAGAAAACGAATGAGAGAGAATTATACATGAAAAGGTTCCTGAATACTATATAGTCGAAATGGTTCCTGAATACTACAATATAGTCGAAAAGAAGATTATTGCAGTACCCTTTACCGACAAAACTCATAGCCCAAATTGCACGTGCACAAAAACAGTGAAAGGAAAAATAAAGGCAAGTCAAGATAGAAAGTTGCTACACTAGATCACACCATCTGTTTATGCAGTCATGTTTATAAGAAAACAGCTTGGTGGTTCTGAAAAGAAAGAGTATAGTTCTGCCAATTATAATGTCATAAATTATTGAATTTTCTTATAGGAAAACTCTTGTGGAAATGACCTCAACTTTTTTACTTCAGTGATAACAAATGTCTCAAATGTGAAATGTCTATTACACAAATGTCTCAAATGTCAAATGTCTATTACACAAATGTCTCAAATGTCAAATGTCTATTACACAAATATCTAGACATATTTTTGTTTCATCTACCATCAGCATAACTCTCCTGGTATTTAGTTGTTTCAAAAAAATATAGAGAGACCAATGTACTACTGCAGCATGTGTAAGTCTTGCAATAGCAATTACAACTGAAATACATTTTCCTGCTATATAACAGAACAGATTGAGCAACAAAAATACAGGGGTGAAATTAAACCAATCTCTATATCAATTGGAGCACGATTTTTTGGTAGAATTGCTCAAATTTGACATGGACAGTCACTTGGAGAGGCTGTTGGAGATGCTCTTAAGAGCAAACAATAAGATGTATATAGCATGAATTTACTCACCAATTGCCATATTGATCTATGTAATATGAGTTAGTATAAGAACCAATTGCTGGTACTAGGCTCTAGCTTGTGAATTGCAGTGAAGCTAAAATGTAAAAGAACCACTGCAGTTTCGATTTTTTTAAAAAAAAACTGCACATAAGACAAAAGAACAAAATATTTTGGAAAGTCTGATGTCCAGGCTGCCTCACCTGCTTGAAAATGTCAGTAGTTCCTTGCTTCTATCAACACATGGGATGTCATGGGCTTCTGTGGAAATTTCCGTCATTATCCTGTGACATTAGCTAACAGCAAACAATAAGATGTATATAGCATGAATAAGCTATGAGATTTGATGAATTAACACATCCACAATCAGACAACACCAAAAGTAAGTTAATAGTGTACCAAAGTCATACTCTGTTACTTCAGAACTCTTAAACTAGTCTTCTATATGGCACATTGTCAATATAGAATAGCGTTGCCTAATTGATAGACATGTTGCTCTGCTAGATTTGTACACCACAATAAGTGCTGCACGCGACACTTAGCAACACATCTGTGGCAATTGGTGGCATTCATCCAAACAGCTCCTAGGAACTCGCATGCTCATAGATTACTGGATTGGTTGTGGAATTTACCTATATTGTTTTCCTAATTTCGCTATTAAATGTTCCTAGTTCAATACTGGGATGTCTTGCATATTCAGGAAAAAAAATACTGTGATGTGATGTACAAATGCAGAACATCAAAGGAAAAGACAGCAGACATCAATAATTGTGCATGTGGACTCACAGAAAAACACAGGAACTACGACAAAAATCACCAGGAGGAACGGGGTGACCAGAGAACATAAAAGATATTTCCTAAATATGAAGTAAACTTGGTGAGCAATTTGAAATATGACAGTCACTCAGTCAGCCATTTTCAGCAAACAATAAAATGACCCATCGAGTTATGTATATTTTTCCTAGAAACACGTATGGTTAGTTTGCCTCCAAGTGACTGCCTGTGTAGCCTCAAATGTAGTTACGAAGTAGCAGTGCTTGAAGCCTTGAATAACACTTTTCAGATAGCATTTTCATTAGCTTCCAAACTTTTCATGTTTCATAATAGCATTTAATGATATCTGGTGCAATTTAATGTTACGTACTAGCTCATTTAAATTACCGAACTTTCATGTAAAGTAATAGACTTAAATTACTCAAGTCATAGTCGAACTTAATGAGTCTTGGATCAGTGTAATACAATGAAATGTCGCAAGTAGAAAAAACAAATGTCCACATGATTTACTATCTGAATCTCAATGGCCTGGCTTGATTTACAATAAAGACAACAAATAGAATTCATAAAACACTTAACTATACTCGCTATAGTATTCTATGGTGCTATACACAATTTATACTCAACAAATCATAAGTTAGCTTAATCAACTCATTTAGTTACAAGGGATTTTCATTGACATCATACCAGAAGGAACCAACACTAAGAATAATATGTCCCATTCAGGAATGGACATCGACAAAGCACTCATGTCCAAAAATAACAAGTTAAATTTTCATGTCGGCTCTTTCCTCTGAAAGTTTTTACTCTACCATGTAGAATGAGAAGTTAAGCAGATCTCATAGTTCGTAAAGCTACTTTTGGCAACGCCTATTTCACAAATGTGTCAAGTGTCGACAGGCTAACAAGGGCTGTGTTACACAAGATGTGCATAAAAATTCATGTGGTATTTACATCTTTGTTCACTTATAAGTCACAAAAATTGCTTCAATGCACCCTGAAAGGAAAAGTATACTATGTGATGGGCACCAGTTTCTTCATAAGAATCAGATATTACTCACAACTGTATTATTTATATCAGGACTACACATTAGACTGTTACATCTAAAGCTCGAAATGATGTAAATTTAAAATTTGCCGCCCAATATAAATGTTTTTAGCTTGCATCTCATGGGCCATTGATTATAGAGAAAGACTATATTTTTTTAAAGCAAACTACATATGCTGAATCAATACTTGTCATACTTTTCCTTACAGATCATGTAGCATTAAGTAGGCAAAATTTTCCAAATAATAAATGAGGTATCATTGAAATTTGCACAACTAGGTATTCCATCAATCCACTTTCTACCATAGTGGTAAACTACTGAGCATCAGCTCAGCAATGAGAAAACCATAATAAGAGCAAGTTAGCAAAGTGTTGGTCTGTTTTATACTTTTATATAGCTTGCAGTCCTAAACCAGAACAAGATACACAGTACTGGGTTCAGCACCAAAAGGAAAAACATTGGAAGTCATTTCATTAGGTAATAACTATACTTCACAGCAAAGGGACAGAGGCATAATTCTTCATACCATTTGGAACATAAAAGCTAGCATAGGAGTAAACAGTCTTCATGAGTAAGGAGCCAGACACCTTCTTGAATTTCAATGTATCAAGCCAAACCAGGAAAACTCCAGCAACAGTCCGTATAAACACCACATCTCCATCTTCAGCAAATCCACATATCCAAATAGGCATCGCACGGCACCGATAGCCCTCCAGCGGCAGGATCATGTCCAGCTCAATGGCTCTGCGCGGAATCCATTGCGACGCACCATCATCGGCAACCTCCCGCGCCCACAAGTGCAGGCTGAAATCCTTGACGAAAGCAAGGCCAAGCACATCATCGTCTTCCATCCTCACAAGACGGATGTTCCGCTTGAGGATGGCATGATTCTCCACAGGATGATCAATCAGAGCTAAACATAAACATTGGTTGCCGAATTCGAACTCAAGTATACGGCTCCCATCAAGAAGCCAATACAGAGCTTCCCCAACAAGAACAGGGGGCTCCTCATAGAGCTCACATGGTGATGTCACCGGCGTCGAGATCGGGTCCCCCCACGCGTCGATCCCCGAAGAGTACACGCAGGCGAACACGCGGCCATGGCATTGGCCGGTGGTGAACACGACGACGACATGGAAGGGACTAGAGTGGCAGTCTTGGTCACCGCCGCCGGAGGCAGCGCAGAACACGGCGGCGTTGAGGTCGAGGGCCCCCTCCTGGATCTGGCTGGAGACGGTGATGCAGCGGCGCTCCCCGGTCATGGGGTCCCAGACGAGCAACTCGGCCCAGTCGCGGCTGCGGAGGAGGGCGCGGCCGTGGCGGCAGTCGACGCACCACCACATGCCGTCATCCCCGTCCCTCCTGAGGGAGGCGGCCTCGGCGGCGACGCGGCCGGGGACGCCCTCGGCGGGGACGAAGCGGGGGAGGTCCGGGGAGTTGTGGAAGAAGCCGAGCACGGGGGGTGTTCGATGGAATGCGCGCAAGCGGCGGAGGAAGCCCGGGTCGCGGGCCAGGCGGCGCCAGCGGTTGCAGACGAGGGAGGCGCGGGAGAGGAAGGAAGGGTGGGGCGGGAGGCGGAGGAGTATCTCCGCGATGACGTCGTCCGGTGCAGACTCCGCCGCCGCCGCGGAGGAGTGGCCGGCGGTCGCCTCGCTCATGGCCGCGGACTTCACTTCTAAAATCTCAACAGAGGATGGATGGACACGTGACACGTCTGGTTCTCTTGAATATACTTTTTTTTTTCCATTTTGAATTTTTTTCGATTACATGATAGACGTACACGTATACACATCACTATAACGTCATAGTATACCCGCATATGCGCCCCATCTAACACACTCTCTAAAAGATGAAAAACTAACTACACATCTTAATCTCACTAAAATCATATTAAAAACTATATATGCGTAATATTTGTAAGTTGTGTTTCGAATTTTTGATCGAGAGTACATGAATTTTGACCGATTAAGATTTAAGCTAAGTCAGATCGAGTTGGTTAAAAAAAAAATTAAAATGTAAAATCCTAGTAAAGTACTATCGACTAGAAGTCTATTGGTATGAATTGAATGTTAAATAACTAAATTATTTTGAAAAATATTGTTGGTTCAAAGCTTAACAACTCAAAGTTCAAATAATGAAGGAAGTATGTTTTTATGGTTTTAAATTACCAAAGCTGTTCCAGAAAACAAATACACAGTGCAAATTCTTCAGGTTTTGATGCAAGAATCCCCGATTTTGGCAGCCAAAGTCTGACGTTTTTCCGTATGTTCACGATTTTAAAATTCTTTTCAACAAAAAAACACTTCTAAATGGGAAATTTGATGGTTCGTTCTATAGTTGCATGCGCTTCGACAAATATGCCACAAAGTTATTTGTACAGACTCTTCATGTTTTTGTCCCAAATCTGTTTACAGAAGATCAAGAGAAAATAACTTTGGACAAAATGTAGAAGCACATGCAACTATGAAGAAAATCATCAATTTTCCATTTAAGATATTAAGACGCTGTTCAGATGGGACTAAAACTTTTAAGTCCCTATCACATCGGATGATTGGATACTAATTATAAATATTAAACGTAGACTATTAATAAAACCCATCCATAATCTTGAACTAATTCGCGAGACGAATCTATTGAGCCTAATTAATCCATGATTAGTCTACGTAATGCTACAGTAAACATTCTCTAATTATAGATTAATTAGGCTTAAAAAATTTGTCTCGCAAATTAACTTTCATTTATTTAATTAGTTTTGTAAGTAGTCTATATTTAATACTCTAAATTGATATCTAAATACAAAGACTAAAGTTAAGTACATGGATCCAAACACCACGTAAATGCTACTTCTGAGAAGAGCCTACAGGCTAGAGCAGCTGCTGGATCATCACAGATCAAACAGAATTAAACAGAAGATCTACAGAGCATAAAGATAATCTGATAATATCTTCGCATAAACAAATACGTGCTCAATGGAGTACTAGCTGTAATCTCAAACATAGAGCAACTGTCACATTTGCCTTTCACGACTGAAACATGCGTGATCAAACATAAGTTAGAATAGCTAATTGTTAGTGACATGCCCTAGAGGCAATCATAGAGATAATTATATCACATACTATATTTACATATTTATCCGACTTTGTTCATTGAAATAAATAACTCATTATTGGTTAATGAATATGTGATTCTTTCATGAGACTCTTTATGTTATTTGTTACTATTTCTAAAGGATCCCTGATCAAATATCATATGTGAAACAAATATGTTTAGATGATCAGCACATGTATTAATTGATTATCATGTCTCATGGATCATGGTATAGAGATACCAAATTAATAATGTGGACATATGTTGGGGAACATGTTGTTGGATAGACCCAACATGAGACACTGCAAGAGCCATATGTGTTGTGTCATCAGTAATCTCATTTAGTGTTGGTGTTGAATCCTTAGACCTGAGATTATTATGGTTTCCAACATGTGTAGTAGCTTACTTAGGGACTGCTAAACGCTACTCCGTAATTGGGTAGTTATAAAAGTAGTTTTCGGGTATGTTGTGAAACATGTAGTGGGATATGAATAATTAAAATGGGATTTGCCCCTCCTATGAAGAGATATCTCTGGGCCCTCTATGTTGTAGATTATGGAAGTGCATGGCCATGCCAAAGGTGATTGAGGAGTCAATCATAAGTTAAATAATCTATCACAGGTTCAAGTGAATGATTGAGCTATTAGAGGATGGCATATATCTAGCCTTGAGCTTAATCGATATCGTGAGGCAAAGGGGTTCATAAAGTATACACTAGAGGTTTAGCCGATATGATCTTTATGTATGACCGGTGGGTCAATACGTTCTGCTAGGGGCCGCTGTTGACGCGTGGACCGAAAAGGAGTTTTCGGGTTACAGCCGAGTGTACATGAACCTACAGGGTCGCACACTTAATGGGCCAGAATAAGGGGATTGGATGGAGATCCAATATGAGCTTAATTCGGATAGGGATCTGAATAGGAGTTCTACGGGCCTTGGAGGCCCGAGTGATGGATCCTATATATTCGTGAGAGGTGTGACCGGTGGAGGTATTGCATCACGTGAGAAACCCTAGCCGTCACTCCCCTCCCGAGCAAAACCCTAGCCGCGCGCGGGTGCTAGCACATCTGCGCGTGGCGTTCCGTCCCTGTACGTGTGGATATCGGTAGAGGCGCCGCTGGTTTGCGGTGCTGAACAGCGTGGGAATACGGCGAGGAGAACGCATGAGGAGGAGAACGTCGAGCCGGTGCGATTGACTACTTCCTCTACATCGACGCGCGATACTTCGCGAGAATTCCTTCGACTTCTTAGCGCCTTATTCCACTGCGCAACGCGTCGAGTGGTAACGATCTATGATCTAATACTTGCATGGTTCCTAGTTTACGCGATAGAAAATTTTGATTTATGCTATCGTAGCCTACGCGTATCCCAACACTAATAATACTTATATGGTAGTATGTGCTTAATACGTTAAGACATTGGTGAAAGGAGTTAAGACATTGGTGAAAGGAGTGCAGATGCATAGCTGACCCTTGAACACCTCTGCAAACCAAAGATCCTACAGCCGTCCACTTCCATGAACTGCACCATCATCTTCACCTTCACCACCTAAGTTAGGCCAAATTATGGGTGACCATTATAGAAACCAGCAAAATTACGGGGGATCTTGGTACAAGATCCTCCGGTATATGCGAGATTGAAATAAAAGAGACGGAGACAAATATTTTTGTACAGGTTCGGGCCTCTTATTCATCAGAATCAGATAAATAGCCCTACTCCTATTGGCTGAAGCCGGTGTTGCTCTTATTCAAAAGAATCACACAAGTACAATATTTGGATAACCCATCTAGCCGTCATTGACTTGGCGGCATGAACACTAACGCGTAGTCGACGATGGGGTAGTCTTCCTCCTCGAATATGGACTTGGCGAGATCAGAGATAACGCTAGATCCCTCTTGTTGGCCTCCGTAGGCGACAAATTGGGTATGTTTAGGCTTATCTCTGATATCGATGTTTGGCGGTGGGTATTGGTGTCTATTTTGACTGTTTCGTGCCCCTTTCCTTCTAGGGGGTCTTGTATTTATACCCATAGATGTTCCCTTGTCCAAGTAGAACTAGGGATTCTTTTCCTCGCGACCGCGGACTTCCGAAACGGCGAAATCTACTCGCCGGCACACAAACGAGGAAAAACCCTAATGAACATGAAGTAAACAGTACATAAAAAGTAAACAAACATGTAGAGCTCAATTTTAGATGAATTTTGCAAGTTGAATGGCTCATTTTGGAGTTCGTATGAATTAGTTATGAATTTTAGAAGTTTTGAGCCATTTAAATGGTTTTTTATAATTCTTACCGGATTATTGCACAATTTAAATGAATTATGACGCCAGCCACCGAGGGAAGGGGTGGTGCCGACAAGTGGGTCCCCCACGTCGGTGACTCAAGGGCTTTGGCCTATAGCGCACCACGTGGCGCCGACGGAGCACCGATATGGCAGCCACGTGTGCAGACACATGGGCGGCCCGGATGGAGGCCGAGGCCGATTCGATGGCCTAGATCGGCCGCGGCTGGGACCAAGGGGAGGCGGCCAGCCGGCCACCAGCATAGCCGGCGATGGCGCTGGAGCGGCGTGTGGTGGGAGCGGCGGCGGCGGCCTGGCCGGACGGCCACCGGCGACGGCGGCGCGGCACGAGGCGGCCGGGGAGATGAAGCGGAGGAGGATGGGGGCTTACCAAGCAGCGTCGACGAGGGGCGGCGGCTCTCCTCGGGACGGAGGGAGGCGGCGACAGTCCGATGGCGCACCGCGAGCGCGAGGCAGCTGACGGTGACCGGGGTGACCTGGGGATTCAATTAAGAGGAGTTAGGGAGAGGGATGAGGTCCACGATGAGTGGGGACATGGGCCGAAGGCGGAGGTTGTGGAGGTGCTCACCAGTGCGTTGAGGGGAATGGCTGCCAGCGGGGGATTCCAGCGGTGAGGAGCGACGGCCAAGGTGCGGATGTATGCGGCGGCGCCAGAGGTGGCCACGGCGCGGCTCAGGATGGCCGGGAGCGGCGGCAAACGGTGACCGGAGGCGACGAATGTGGCGGTAGCCTCGGGTTTGCAATGGAGGTGGGGATTCGGCGGTGGAGAGAGGGAAATAGGTGGCACAACCTGAGGTAGACGGGGATGGCGGCAATAGGCGGCTGAAGTGTGGCGGGCGGTGGTGGAGCTCGGGTCGGCGGTGGAAGTGGTGCTTCGGCGGCAGATTGAAGGCGCGGAGCGGAGGCCAAGGTGCGGCAAGGAGTGGCGATGCTGGTGGTACAAGCGGCACGGAACGAGGACGGCTGAGCGGCGGTGGCGCGTGGCCGAAGCTCGCCGGAGTGCGGCGGAAATGGCAGGCGGCGTGGAGAGAGCGGAAGGGGGCGTGAGAAGCTCGGGGAGGAGGAGGAAACGGACGAGGGGATCCCGGGGATGGATTTTATAGGCTCGGGGAGGGAAAACCGTGGCCGGGCGTGGCGGCAACGTGGAGCGGCATCGTGGGGAGAGAGAGGCGGCGGCACGGCGCCGAATTCCGCGAAGGGAGTGGGGGAAGGAGAGTGGAGGGAGTGGGGCAGCGTCGGGCCCGCACGGGAGAGGGCGAGGGGGAGCTGGAGGAGGCGGCGACGTGGGCGGCTCAGGCGGCCGTGGCGGCTGCCAGCCCAG